CAATATCGTACTATGATGCAATGTAATGTCTGTTGAATGTATATAAGTATTCATGCATACGGACGATCGTTCCCTCTAATTACAAAAAATACCACCCACGTTGTGTGCTGGATTTCATGAAGGTGATTCACACATGAAACCTTGTCCATGATGTCAGGCATTCATAGCGGTATTTGCAGCGACACAAGCCAACGTGCGAAGTACGAGGTGCAATTCGTGCGCAAGGTTGCTCGATTAGTGCACAATTTCAACTTGTGCGACTTATTCCTGGGTCGGCTACTTTTTGGTAATCGCAGTGTGTCCTTTTTCATTTTTCTACTTCTGATCCATTAGGCAAATATTCTAGGTGCATATTGTAAAAAAATAGGTAAACTTATTTCTATACAACTGTATATAAATATATAGATAAATAAAACATGATAATTACATATTACATACATATGTTTACACTCATAGTTATATAATGTTATATATAAATCTATGAGATCGTACGAGTATCTATGTGCATGTTATTACACAATACCTCTGTGATGCGACTTCAAGGCAGAGTTGCAAAGCTTGCGCGACATGATTCCCAAGCCCGGAAAAAACCAATAGCCAGGCCTCAGTTTGTATACCATATTTTCTATAATATAGCATGGCCTCTTGTATAGCTAGGGAAAAACATGGCCATGTCGGCCATGTTCACATTTTGATGAGCCGATGACGGCTGCCGATGGCCGGGCCTCCGTGTGGAAATCCTGCATGGCAAAAAATCTGTCAATGGCCTTGACAAGGTTGAGGGCTTGCTGGATCGGAAGAGAACCTGGTATGCTTCAGAATCACGTGCTGAAAATTATCACCCCAGATCTTCTATTTAGCATTCGATTCAAAACTGTTCAAAGAACTATTGTGGGAAACAGCTGGATGTTCTAAGCACAGCAACGTAGTCGGTGCACAGTCTCGGTAAATTCATGTGCAGGTAAACGCCACTTTTGCTCTGAATCTTCGAGCACCTTCTTTGCTTCATTGATCCAGGTTTCACCAACATCTCCCTTGCTGGGCAATGTTTGATGCGAGGCGACCAGTGTGCAGAGTGTTCCAACATTGGGGATGTGATTCTGCTCAAGCTGGTCCAGCCACAAAGAGTGGAACTCCTCATAGGCCCGCACGACGGAAGAGCGTTGCACTGAGGTTCCAAACCTCAAAAATATGGCGCGCGCCTTCAATACGGCAGGCCGAATTCTGCTCCAGAGGCCTGGGCCTGGGCCTTACAAATCAGGCCCACCAGGAGCAAGAACCAGAGCAATTTCACAGACGTAAAAAACCATTCTTGTTAAGTGATGGCAGTGAGCCCCTTGGCTGCATCTTTTGCAAGCCGACCCGATGATATCCTCTGTTTTCGCTCTAAACATGGGATCAAATATAGAACAAAAACTTGTGTCACACCATGTTACAAACTGCTTCAGCAAAGGCGTTTCAGGCCTTGACTAGAAAACTTAGAGGAACGGTTCATGAAGTCCAGTTGGCATGTTCCCGAAATAGAGAAGTAGTTCAAACGATCATTAAGTCCAGTTGGCATGTTCCTGAAGTAGAGAAGTAGTTCAAAAGTTTCAAAAAATCATTAAGTCGCCATGTTCTTGAAGTAGTTGGCAGGTTCCTGAAGAAGAAAAGGATGGAGTCGCGTAGCACAGAAGGGAGTACCCAAGGGCGCAGAAGAGTTGAGTGGATGTGAAGCAGATTGCGTGGAAACTGCTACCTCACAAGGTAAAGAGGAGTAGAGGCGTAGAAAAGAGTATACTAGAGTTGTGGCAGATCGCCGTGGAACTGCTACTGGGTGATCAACTTTGAGTGTTAGGATTTGAGCGAAGACATCGATTCTTTTCGGGTAAACGGACGTTCCGATGCGGAGAAAAGTTGGTTCGCGTGCACGACAACGGTTGCACTATGCTAGTTTGCAGCTGTTTAAATACATTGCGAGCTGGAACTGGCACTGCTGCGTCAAGGCTATTTGTAGTTCTTGCATACTGTGTTGCGATCGCATTGGAACTGCTGCAGGATGAGATTTGAATGTCAAGATGTGCGCAAAGCATTCGGTCCTTTTGGGGTAAACGGACATTCCGTTGCGGAGAAAAGGTGGCTCGCGTGCGCTCGTTGCTTTGGGTTCGATTCCTGTTCGAACTGTGCAAGCACTGTAACTGAGGTGTCCAGGCGACTTTTCCTCTGTTGCTGCTGACGCTGTGCTATGCTAGTTTGCAGCTGTTGAAATACATTGTGCACTGGAACTGCTGCATCAAGGCTACTTAACTTGTTCTTGAATCTTGTGTTGCGATTCCATTCTGTTTTGGAAGTTGCGCAAAAAACTGCCCCAGGATGAGATTTGAATATTAGGACGAAACATTCCGTTCTTATCGGGTAAGAGGACATTCCGTTGCGGAGAGACGTGCGCGACGACGGTTGTGGGCGTCGTCGCTTTGGGTTCGATTCCTGTTCGAACTGCGCGCGCTGTAACTGACGTGTC